TGAACGTACTCGGTTTTGTTAGTGTAACAACAGAGAGGACTGAATGTACTCGGTTTTGTTAGTGTAACAACAGAGAGGACTGAATGTACTCGGTTTTGTTAGTGTAACAACAGAGATGACTGAATGTACTCAGTTTTGTTACTGTAACAACAGAGAGGACTGAATGTACTCGATTTGTTACTGTAACAACAGAGAGGACTGAATGTACTCAGTTTTGTTACTCTAACAACAGAGAGGACTGAATGTACTCAGTTTTGTTACTGTAACAACAGAGAGGACTGAATGTACTCAGTTTTGTGACTGTAATTTGGTGTAAAAATATGAGCTTCATAATTCAAAATTAAGTTTGAAATATATTTTGCTTTACAGAAAAGTTGATTTTTTAAAAAAAATTAAAGCTTTTTCACACAAATAGTTCCACTTTTATAGTGTGTAAGTGCACATAAAGGTATAGTAATGCTCTTCAGCACTGTGGTCCAAATAAGGAACTGATGAATGTCATGTATATGGCTAGTGAAATAATTAACTACAGTTACATATCTATATTTGACGGTGTACTCTGCAACTCAGCCTTATTGGAAAGGAAGGTGATGACTAATCGAATGAGGTTAAATGTTGCTACACAGCAACTGTTACTTGTCATTTACTCTGTACATGCTCTCGTGTTGAGTGAAACAAGTTTTCACATTACAGGTTATTTTCCAAACTCTCTTAATGCTACCTATAATAATTTATTGGTATTGATTTTCTGAACTTTGTATTTGTATGTACCACAGAAAGGTTCTCTTTTGAAATGTGTAAAATCCATAAAAGGTAAAATCGTGTGTTACATTTACAGGTATGATATAAAGTTACAAGCTATACATAAGATTTGTTCACATGTTGGAAGCAGTGAAACATCTAAAGTAGTCTACACAAATTAAAGTTCTTGTGTTACAAAGAAGTAGAAAGATAGTTGTCATCTCAAAGCCAGTCATTATTAGGTCTTTCTTCAGAAACAAAAACATATCCAGAGACAGAAACCATTATCATAAACATATAACCTCTAAAACATTTGCATCTTAACAATGTGTTTTTATCATTCGTAACCATACTTAAGTGTATACAATAAAAGTTTAGGATTTCACCCACAACAACACAATACAGAATATACTGCACTCAAAGTATTTTATTTTTGTATTACGAGAAAAATAATGTATCTGTGGTTTTAGTACAGATAATGTGTCTGTGGTTTTAGTACAGATAATGTATCTGTGGTTTTAGTACAGATAATGTATCTGTGGTTTTAGTACAGATAATGTGTCTGTGGTTTTAGTACAGATAATGTATCTGTGGTTTTAGTACAGATAATGTATCTGTGGTTTTAGTACAGATAATGTATCTGTGGTTTTAGTACAGATAATGTATCTGTGGTTTTAGTACAGATAATGTATCTGTGGTTTTAGTACAGACTCCGTAACTTCGTCTCTTGGGAAATATGTTTCAACCAGTCTATTCAGCTTTCTTTGCTAAAAGTATTTTGCCCAACAAACTCACAACTCCAAATTTGGGAGCCATTACAATATATATACAAGATTCTGTTTATAACAGTGCTTTAACCCTAGCATTACCAATAGGGTCAATAACAACTTAGTTCTTAAACATTTTTCTAAACTGTCCGTGCACCAAGTTGCTACTGAATCCAGGACTTCAGAAAGTTCTGATTGCTTCACAGCATCTTGCAAAATACTGATTTTAGTATGAAAAGCTAATAAAAGTACAATTGTGGATGTGGGATAAAGAAACAGATACAACTATCAAAGAGAAAAAAACAAACCATAAAGTCAAAAAGCATCTAAAAAATCAAGTGTGACAAGAATATTTCAAAATGTACCATCCTGTTTTGTTCAAGTTTACACATAATAAAACAAACAAGTGTGACAAGAACAGTTTAAAATGTACCATCCTGTTTTGTTCAAGTTTACACATAATAAAACAAACAAGTGTGACAAGAACAGTTTAAAATGTACCATCCTGTTTTGTTCAAGTTTACACATAATAAAACAAACAAGTGTGACAAGAACAGTTTAAAATGTACCATCCTGTTTTGTTCAAGTTTACACATAATAAAACAAACGAGCCTGACTATATAGGTAAAGGATATTTTTTTGCCAAATCTTGATTACAGCCACTCCAACTGTTTCTAATCGTATTGTTCATCATATATGTTTATTTATTTTTTTATAAAAGCTCCTTTTATTTTATCTCAATGATTAGATGAAAAATCAGGTCAAAGCAGGGCGTAAAGGGCATAGAATACTAGATAATATAACAGAGACTGCATAAAACAAGCACAAACATTCACTTATAAAATATAAGTGAAAACAAACAGAATCAACAAATACATCTATAAATCATCTACAGCATACAAAGTATGACTGCCTAAAGCCAAGTCAATCTAACATAGTTAACAATAGTGTCTGTACATTAACTGGTTCTCCTTATGTTTAATAGACACCTGTTGTACAATATTTATACTACTACTACTGCATGTAGTTGTCTTTCTTATTATTAAAACATGTACAAGCATAACTTATTCAACATCCAAAGTGAAATTTAAAATGCATTTCAATTTTCAGTATGAAACACATGCGGGTATGTTTGATAACTAAAAATTCTATCAAGTCTACATTTTCCACCGCTCCGTTCAAAGAAGTTTTTTTTATTTTATTTTATTGAGCTAACACTAACAGTAACTAAGTTATAAATATTCATTCGTCCTTTCCAAGGATAACTACTTTTAACTTGCTTATATTGAATTGAATTATTAACTCACCACCTACGTATGACAACGACGTGTACGTCTTGTTGCCATTTTTTTTCAATAGCGCCATCTAACAATTACGAATCGAAACACCCATAGACACTGATTATAAAAGTTTAATGCGTGTTAAAATAGAAAAGTTTCGGCTTTGTTAAGTTTGTAACAAGCACGCGCGGGGCTACTACACTAGCCATAACACAGAACTGATGACACAT